TCTCGCCATCCTCCTCAAACACGGGATTGGAGAACTCAGTCAGCAAGTTCGGTGGCAAAGACAGCACGACAGTCTCCTGGGGCATAGAAAATGAGGCATTTTAAATCTGTTAAGTCTCCTGTAGTCTCCCCTCCCTTTTAAGTAACCCTCCGTTTTTCTTGCAAACCAGTTTTGGCATTTTGGAGTCGAAAAAGGACAGTCCCAAATAATAAAAGTGCACTTTGGGACTGAGTAGCCCCACAAAATGTCAATTAAACCCACCAAGCAGCAGAAGAAGCCTGAATGAAAATACCGTACAGCCCTAACCATGTTCTAACTGAATTTTGTGGGGTTGTCCTTAACAGGGGTTCCCCAGGAAGGAAAAAAAGGTCATTAGGATGGCCACAATCATGCAACACACAAGGGTTGGACAATGGACATTCCCTGGTCCTTGTTGGATAGAGATATGGAGCTCAAAGCATTCTCAAACAGCTGGTCTTCTGCCTACCTGGTTTTGATCCTGTGCCTCTGGTTGAAAGATCACCTCGGTGAAGTCCTTCATAGCCAGGAAGGAGGCTGGGGGATACGTGGACAGGATCCCTGCCTGTCTGGGGCTGCCACATGTCCCCCCTTCCTGTGGCATCCGGCTTTCTGCAGTGTCAGTTCTCCCAGGAACCTTCTGATGTTCAACGCATGGACCAGAGGTTCTTGTCCTTGGTGAAGGCTGCCCAAAGGGTGAGATGATGGCCACAAATTGATGGATTTTTTCCCTTTCTCGGTGAGGGCGATGGGTTAATTCAATCAACTGGCCCTTGTCTTCCTTTCAAGACCACAGCTCATCCCTGGCCAACCGAGCGTGGGGGAGAAGGGACTGGTTAAGCTGCTAGGAAATGAAAGAATGTGCAAGCATGAAAGCCACTAGGCGCCCCAGCGCCTTAATCCAACTCAGCTGAGGACATGGCCAGGTCAGAGGCCCTGGCATGGGCTACGGTGCTTTTAAAGACACAGCACTGCCCAGCTAGACCAGGTCTTCTAAACAAGCAGAACGTCTCTTAAAATGGGCATATATTTATCTTTTCCAATTTGGGTTGGATGTTAGAAATGGTGGTGAAAAA